CTGCTATGCTACTGAATTTCTGTATTAATTCTAGTAGCTTCTTGGTGGAGATTTTTAACATTAGCTTTTTGTCTTCTACCTTGATATTTTATTTGTTCAGTAAATATGCTTTGATTATCTAATGTGTGCCAGGGATTCTTTTAGATACTAGACACACATAGGGCCAGCCAAATAGCTCAGCAGATTAAAGCGTCTGCAAGCAAGGGCAGGGGCTAGGGGTTTGATCCCCGGGCCTGGTATGCTGCCCCTGCCCCCAGGGCATGCTGAGATGGAAATTGAGACTCCATGTAGTGGCGCACGCCTGTAATCCCAGCACTTGGGAGGCTGTAAACAGGCGGATCACTAGAGTTTGGTCTAGTAGTGAAGCCCTGAACACCCTGTAGTCCCTTCCCTAAAATACAAAAGAAAAAAAAAAGATACTAGATACACAATGGTATGTTTTTAAGAGTATCATTCCTGAAGAAAAAAAAGAAAAAAAGAAAATATAACCAGTAAAGATAGAAAAAGTAACCAAGTCTTCCTGAACCAGTAACCTCAGACAGGGTGGCTGTCGACTCCAAAAGAGCTGCCACTGCTGCTGGTGGCTTAGGAGCTGACCCAGCAGCAGGGGGTGAGTGAGTCGTGGCTGTGGGTGTCACTGTCCTGTGCTCTGTGGGTGGCGGTGGCTGTGGTGAGATCCTGCCCAACACCCCCGTGCTCCACGTAGTAAGAGACACCACCTGCAGGTGGCCTCGTAAACCCAGCAGTGGCAAGAGACGAGAAAAGCATACTGCAGTTGTATGTTTTCGGAGTGCAGGATTCTCTGGAGGCCCCCGCAGGCCATTTTCTGTTTTCTTTCCTAAAACAGCACTTTATAAAGATGCATGCCTGGAAGAACACAAGTGGAGCAGCATAAGTCACCTGGCACCGAATGGGACTTGCTATGGCGACAGCGGTGCCAGGGTCTTCTGGTGCATGTGTGGCTGTCCCTGTGCCCGCAGAGTGGCATTGCAGTTCCCCATCTACCACTGGCCACGAGATCCCTGCAGGTTGTAGGCATCCACCTAGTAAAGAAAGGAAAATGGAAAACTACTTGCAAACCCAGAAGTTGTCCAGAAAGACCACTGAGCCATTGAGCAGCCAGCGAAACCCTCCCCAAGACTGCCGTTTCTTCCTAGGCCTTTGTGCCTGCAGCCAGCTCCTCTGTCCAGCCTGTGGTTTTAGGAGCTGCTCAGGGCTCTACCCCAGGCCTAGTGCACCGAGTGCTGTGTGTCTGGAAACCCTGACTGACCCTCAGCCTAGATCTAGGGATTGCTGCCTTAAGGAATGCTTACCTCTTTCAAAAATTCTAAGTCCTGTTGCTGGGCCAATTACTGTAGCTGTTCAGAGGAATTTGGGTAAATGTTCATTTGATCCTTTATAAGGGTTGGAGAACTCTTGTCAAAGGATCAGCATTTGCCCAGCCAGCATGGAGCAGATCTGTCTTGTGCCTCACAGAGCTTTATACCTTGTGCGCAACGGGCTGGCTCTGAGTCCTCCATGTTGTCTTAGGCTCAGACCAGTCACTTGATTCTCAAATGTCCCTTCCTGTTCATGCTCACGTGCACCTGCTACTGTTGCACCCTCCAGCACCCCCTATAGCTGCTCAGTTGGATGCATTCGTAAACCCCGATTTCCAGCTAAGTGGGGAACGCAGGCCCGTAGGTTATGCTGTCTCCCAGGTGACCAGATACAAGCTGACCAAGCTAGAATCCATGAAGATGCTTCTGAGAGCTTCCACTCATCACAGGGCATTCTTACAGACAATATTTCATGCAGAAGTTTAGTGACAGAGGCAGTAACTCATGGTTTGCTACTTCACACCAACCCTAAGGTCAAGATATTGAGGAAGCTGCGCTCATTTTAAACTTAAGTACATGAAACACTATCCTTCCTTCCCAGCACATGGCAGATAATCAGATCCAAGCTATTATTAAGTGACTTAGGAAACATCTTGTCATGTAATCAGACGTTGGACAATTATAGTTTTTTGTCTGACACAAATCTTGGACCTGATACCCAGCCTCCCTCTGGCTCACCCCAAAACTTTGAAATAGATTTTGATTCTGAAGAGATGTTTTTTTAAAAAAAAATTTAGTGCAGGGTCTACAGGGTCTCATTACACAGATTGGGCATGTAGTGATCCTCCTGTTTTCAGCTTCCCAAGCACTGGGATTATAGGTGGGCGTCACCAGGCCCAGTCTCAGTCACGGCTCAGCATGCTCCGGGGGCGGTGCCAGCATGGCAGACCGGGAATTGAGCCCCCAGCCCCTGCGTCTGCATAAGGAGGCACTTCAATCAACCGAGCTGTCTGGCCAGCCCTTTAAACCTCTTTTACATGTTCAAAATGTAATCCCAGCTCTCACACGTGACATGCTAAGCCATCACTAGTGAGCTAGATAGTAATGGAGTGACTTTGCTCTCCACTTATTTTTATTTATTTTTTATGGCTGGCTCAACCCCACCCTGGGTGGGGCTGATGCAGCAGGTGTTGCTGGGGATGGAACCACAGTCCCTACGTTTTGCCTAAGCTTGCCTAAGCAGGTGCTTTAGACTGCCAAGCAATCTCGCCGGCCTGCTCTCCACTTTTTAAAATTTATGTGTACATGTCATCACATCTCAATCCTTTTTACTTCTCCTTCCTCTCCCCTCTCCCTCCATCCCTAGATCTTCCTATCTTCAAACCTCCCTATTTGCTTTCAACTTTAATGGTTTTTGGGAGGGGGAAACTTTTGGAATATAGTTAGTGTTAGATTAGGTTGGAGGGATAGATGGTACTAATTTGAGTAGTCCTTATGAATGATACTAATGTCCTCATAAAATGAGGAGACGTGAGATGTAGGACTTTGTACCAGGGGGAGAAATAGTGGCAGGAATGAGGAAAAGATGGACAAGATGATAAGAGCTGTGTTGATGGGCAAAGGACCCAGAGAACAAGAGAAAGGTCGCTCATTAGTTAGTATCACGTGACCCAAGGTTGCCTAGTGACTAGTAGCTGACATTGACCAAGCAGGATGCTATTCTAAGGACTGAGGTTGCTTGACTGCTTTCGGCACTGTGGCCTAGTCCTGCCCTCCCATATGTGACCAATTTCCAGCTTCGGCTGCCCCCAACAGTGAGACCCATCCCTCTGTCATGTGGGGACACAAGATGTGTCATCTGAAACTCGGTAGAGAATCCTCACCAGACCCTGGGTTTGCTGAAGCCTTGATACTGGATTTCCCATCCACTAGAACTGTGAGAAACAGATGTCTGTGTTTAAGAAACCAAGTCACCAATGATACTGTGACACGTAATTAAAAATACTAAGAATACTATATATTGAATATGTCAGATAAACAGCCACCCTGAATTTAGAGGTTCCAGGCAAGATCTCCTAGAGAAATCCTCAGAGAGAGTCTGTGTCAAGTTTATTGGGCTGGAGTTTTCAGGAGGGCTTGTGGGAGGGGCTTAGGTAGGTGAGGCAAGGAGGAGCATAGGACAGAGGGAGTAGGAGTAACCGAGTGGAAGTGGCAACATAGCAATGGCTGTCATAGCAACGGCTATTATTTTGTTGTGAAACAGGGTATCTGGGTTCTCTATGGGGTACACTGGGCAGGAAGTTGGGCTGTAATTCCTTCTGAGACCACATCCCTCTCCCTAGCCAAGTTCAGGAAACTGGTAACATTACTGTTGTTCTAAGGACTCACTTTCCTTTAACTATATCCCTTTTAGAGCTTTTTAGGTCATTCTGTGTTCTGTGACTCATACCATATATATTAAACTGTCACTTGATTTTTCATCTACAACTGATTACTTTCCTATTTATTTATTTATTTATTTATTTTGTGTGTGTGTGTGGCCAGCTCAGCCCACCAGGGGGCGGGGCTGGCTGGCATGTGGTGCTGGGGGATTGAACCGTGGTCCCTGTGCTTTGCTTAGCTTAGCTTGTTCTAAGTAGGTGCTTTAGACCTCTGAGCCATCTCACCAGCCCTTGATTACTTTCTTTAGGTTGGAAAAAATGAAAAAGGAATATAAAAATTTGAGTACATGGAAAGAAAGAGCTGATTATTTAGAAAACCTGCTTAACTCAGAATTGGAACACAAAAATTCCAAGGTAATTGACACAATACATTCTCCCACGTATGGCTTTTAATACTTTTAAGAAAGATATTATAATAATTAAAAGCAATGGTCAAATATTGCTTATTTTTTCTTGAGATGTGAAATGTTACTCTTTCCATTTTGATAATTGTCATTATTGATAATTTGTAAGATTTAGTTAATGGACTTATTTAATGCATTGAATTCAGTGGTCTTTACTATAATCAGTTGTGTATCATAAAAACTTGATTACAACAATCAAGTTTAGAACATTTTCTTTAATCCTTCTCAATAAAACAACCCCACACCTTACAAGCAGCACTCCCTCAATCTATCCTTGGATACCTGTTGTCTGGAATATCAACTTCTCTTTAAAATTGTGCCCTTTGGATTGTTTGTTTCTCACAAACTCAGCTCTTTGTCTTTTGTAAATTTAGAGGAAAAAGGATATTATACTAAAAATATTTTAAGGCAGTAATGTTTCTCCCGGTACATTTTTTTTTTTAATTCTAGGAAACTAATATAAACAAGATACCAGAAAGATCAAATAATAATCAAGATGAAAAGAAGCCTGAAGAGAGCACAACATTATGTAAGAAATTAATTTGTTTTTATGTGTATCAGTAAGAGAATTAGAATCAAGGTGTAGTGGACTGCTAAGTGGTGGTCCACGTGGTACAGCCAGCTGAACTGAACTAGTGTGGTGCTGGGTGTGGGAGGCCCAGCTGAGGGTTGTTGCCAGCAGCATAAGAGGCAGAACCAGAGAAGCTCTTGGGAGGCTCTTAGGGAAGCTGTTTGGAGAAGAAGCTGTAGGACTTTTAGGGGCTGTTGGGGCTCTTGGAAGCTGCTGTTTCTCTTGGGTTGTTCTGCTGGTGGACCCTGTCATGCTGGCTTTCCTGGTAACCTTGGCTCTTCGTGTCAGAGGAGGAGTTCGGGACATCATTGTTACTGAGAATGACTGCGGTTCACGCAGTGAGCTTTGGTCATCACCTTGAGCATCGCTTCCTGGCTCTGGAAGAGAGGGTGGTGCACTCCTGCAGAAGCTTGTCACATTGGCTTTCCTGTGGGAACTGGGCTTTCCACACCACTGGAGAAGCTCGGGACCTTGCTGTTGCTGACCTTGAGCATGGCTCTGGTGCTTACCTTGAGCATGGCTTCCTGGCTGCAGTGCAGATCCCTCATCCTGCTGGCGCAGACTTTCTAGCTTCCACCACTGATGTTTGGACCTTCCCAGCGCAGATCTGTAAAGCAGGTCTGCACGAGACATTGTCATGGGCTCTAGGCTTCAAACTGCCCTTGTGGGAGGCATTGTTAGGAGCGCTAGGTTTTCAGCTGTACTCATGCAGGACATTAGGATCCAGGCCTTCATCTTGATTATTTGGTTTTGAGTGTGTGGACAGATTTCCTACATTCTTTGTATATGATTCTTTGGGTGATTATAAAACAACTTATAAAATGTGTCCTGTATTGTATTGTTCCCCTTGCAAAAAGCTCAAACTGTGATACAAGGTGTTATATCGCAAAAATTAGTATTTTGCTGCAGGCAAATTTCAGTTTTGTTAGGGAGTAAACATATTTCATCATGGATCTGGTATATAATATTTATTTTTAACACTTCATGTTTAGACCTTATTAAGAATTTTTTTTAAGTTTTAATGCTCATTTACTCCTTTAAAATTGTGCAATTTAAAGATACGTTAAATATTCTGTTAAAAGGTACATTTGTTCAACATTGTTAGTTGTGGAGCTACCTCTATGTAGAGGAGAGAGAGAAGGTGGGGTGAGTAAAATAAGTGTATTTGGAGAAAAGGAAGAAATTAGATTAGCAATAAATTTAAAAATTAGGACTGGGAGATGGCTCAGTAGAATAAGCGCTTGCCTGGCAAGTGCAAGGGCCTGAGTTCAATCCCTGGTTCCACCAAAATAAATAAATAAGTTTAAAAATTATACTAATTATCAGTAAGAGATTTAGTTAAAGAAAAATACATTCAGGTCTTTAAAATATCTGTCTGTAGAAGAGTACTTTATCTTTTTTTTTTTTTTTGATATTTGGTATAGTAGACTCAGAGACTCACTATGCAGCTTGGACTTATAGTGATCCTCCTGTTTTCGGCCTCCCCAGCACTGGGATTACAGGCATGTGCCACCCTGCAGGGTCCCTGTTGCCACCCAGGGGAGGGGACAGAGGTGTGAGACCAGTTTGGGGAATTGAACCCTGGTCCCTGCCCTTGTCTAAGCAGGTGCTTAGTCCACTGAGCTATCTCACCAGCCCTTATGAGAGTACTTTCAAATGCAAGGAAGAATACTACTATACTTTAAAATACATTATATCTGTCTTTAAAATCTTCAATTTTTCACATATGGAATCATAATTAGTTATAAGGCTTTTGACACAACTTAATGTTTCTTCTTTATTTCTAAGTATACTCCTAGGATAGTTAAGTATATTCATGGCTGAACCATAGGGGATTAGCCAGCTAGCAGAGCTGCTGGGTCTTTGGTGTACTTCTCACTTGAAACTTTCAAGTTTCAGGTGTAAGATGATCAACTGTTTCCCTTTCAGTGTCATTGGAAAGACGTGATGTCGCTCAGTAACTAGTAGTCGTGTTCCCACTTATCCTGAGATCTTATTTTGAGCCAAATGGATCATCATTTTGCTTCCTGTAGGCTCCTGTATTCAAACTAATACTTATTCATCACAGTATTCCAGGTGCCTTATGTGGATTATACATTAATCCTCACAGCAATGAATTGAATGAACTATAAGAAGCTCAAGCTCAACCAATCAGAGGTCACAAGTCACTAATACATAGGACATAAATTTGAGCTAGTCAGTTTGGCCTGGGATCTCAACTATTTAACCAGACTGCCATTTACATCTTATATATGATTGTATTGTATCTATAAAGTAAGGTAATATTATTTTTGTTTACATATGAGGTACTGTGGTTTGGAATAGATACCACAGCTTGGAAAAATGAGCTGAGTCAGGGGACATAATTAAGAGGGCAAAATAGGAAGCCCTGTATCCTCCTAGACATACTAATAACAGTACATAAAACAATTGCCTTATGAGAATATCACAAAATTTTTGAGAAGCTCCTGCATCCTGGGCCAACATAAGACCAGCCTCATTGTAGCCAGAAGTAAAATTACTTAAGATGCCTTCTTGTCACTTGCCCTTCCCCTTATCTAGTTCCCTATAATCAGGTAAGGGGTGAGGAGAATGGAATTGAAATCCATTATGTATGTGTACTAGGCCCCTATCGTGAATGAAATCATTGTACACTGCAAACATGTACTAGTAAAAGTCAAAAAAAGAAAATAAATGGTAGTAGTAAGTTCTTGTCAGTCATTCTTTAGATGTGAATTCATTAAACTCTTTTCACTAGTCAGAAGACTAAGAATAGCTTAATGAGTATAAAAACAAGATCCAAGTATATTTTTTATGGAAGAGATTAAGAATTTAATGATATATACAGGCTAAAAGTGGAGGAATGAACAAAGATAGTAAATGGTAACCCAAAGAGATTTTATCATCATATAGTGATAAAGAAATCAATCCATCAAGAAGATATAATAATTGTAAGTATATATGCACTATCACCAGGCTACCTAAATGTGTATGAAAAGAACTAAGGAGAGAGAAATAGGTGATGATAATAATATGAGACTTTGGAAACCCATTTTCAATAATGAAATAGACTAACAATCAAAAATTAAAGAAACAGCAAAATTGAACTAGGTAGACCATATGAACAAAATTATAGCCCAAATGGACATATGTAGAAGATTCTACATAACAGGAACAGAATATCCACTTTTCTCAAGGATACATGGAACATTCTCCAAGCCAGATTGCATGTTAAGTTAAAAAAATTTTTTTTTTTGAGACAAGATCTCACCTAGTGTTCTAGGCTGTGCTCTAAAATTTTCAGTCTTTTCTTTCCTCTTTCTAGAATGCTGGAATTACAGGTGTCTGCCATCTTGCTTTGTTTGTAAATAGATATTTCTTAAAAGGAGAGAAACAGATGGCCAACTGATACATGAAAAAATACTCAACATGGATAACCATTAGGGAAATGCCAATCAGAACTACGGTGGAATATCATCTCATCTCTGTAGAATGACCATTGTCTCAAAGACAAAAATAACAAATGCTGGGCTGGGGAGATAGCTTGTGGTCTAAGTACCTGCCTGGCAAGTGCAAGGACCAGGGTTCAATCCCCAGTACTGTATGCCATGCTGGCCACTGAAACCGTACATGATGTCATATGCCTGTAATCCCAGTGCTGGGGAGACTGACCCAGGAGGATCACTAACAGTCCTAGCTGTGTAGTGAGACCAGGTTCAAAATAAATAAATAAAATATTCTAAAAGAATAACAAATGCTGATGAGGATAAGGAGGAAGGGGAAAATACATTGAAATCATACCAGCTACAAAGGACCAGAAATACAATTAATAGTAAAAGGAAACTATATAATTCACAAGTATGCAGAAACACATGCACTTTTTAAACAGCCAGTGAGTCAAACAATAAATTTGAAATGAAATTAGAAAATATCCCCAAATGCATGGAATGCCTAATAACCAGTAAGAGGATATTTATAACAGTGAAAGGCTTTATCAAGAAAGAACAAATGCTTGTGATCTCAGCACTCAAGAAGCTGAGGCAGGAATATCATCGTGAGTTTAAGTTTAAGAGAAATCCCAATGGCTACAAAATGAGTTTAAGGCCAGCCTGCACTGCACAGGGAGACCCTGTCTCCAAAAAACAAACAAAACAGGGCCAGCCAGATAGCTCATTGGATTAAAGTGCCCCAGGGGCATGCTGAGCTAGTGATTGAGACTAGGTGTGATGGCATGTACCTGTAATCCCAGCACTTGGGAGGCTGGAAACAGGAGAATCATTATGAGCCCAATCTAGGTAGTGAGACCCGGTAGACCCTGTACTAAATACAGAAGCAAAACAAAAAAGAATGAAGATGTAAACAACCTATATTGACACCTCAAAGAACTAGAAAAAGGACAAAGTAAGTTCAAAGTTATCAGGAGAGATATAAAAATTAGACTATAAACAAAATAAGGAATATCTTTAAAAACCAAGAGTTTGGTTTGGTTTTTTGTTTTGTTTTGTTTTGTTTTTAAAGATAAACAATTAGCAAACTGTCAGACTGAGAAGAGAGAAGATGCACATTCAGAAGTTAAAGAGAAGACATTGCAAAGGACACCAAAGAAATAGAAAAGAACACAGGCAATAATGAACAATTATATGCCAACAAATCAGATCAGGTATAATAAATAGGTAAATTCCTAGAAACAGTCAACCTGTGAAGACAAAACTGAAGAAATAGCCTGAGCACACCTATGACTGTGAAGGAGATTTAGTCAGTAATGAAAAACCTTCCCAAAATGGGAAAGCCAGGACCTTCATTAGTGGATTGCAACAAACTTTTAACAAAAGCATTTTTCTCAAATGCTTCCCCAAATGTGAACAGGAAGAAACAACTCTAAACTTATTATGTGTTAAGCATTACCTTGGCATCAAAGGTTCTATAACTAGAGAAAACTGCCGGCCACTGTTCCCAACGAATACAGCTGTAAAAAATCTTTAATAAAACACTAGTAAACTGAATTCAACAGCACATTAAATCATACACCGTAACCAAGTAGAATTTATCCCTAAGAGGTGCAAGACTGTTTCGTTGTATAGAAATCAATGTGACATCGCATGTTGTCTTAGTTAGTTTTATTGTTGCTGAAGCAAAATACATGACACGCAAGAAAAGGTTTATTCGGCTCACTGTTTGTAAAGGCTTCAGTTCATAGTTGGCTGGCTCCGGGGTAGAGTGGCCTGGCAGGGGGCATCGTGTGTGTGTGTGTGTGTGTGTGTGTGTGTAGAAACAGTTCATGGCAGGCAGAAGGCAGCAGGGCAGTGAAGTTGCAAGGAAGTAGCAAGCAGCCACCAGTGACTTTTTTTTCAGTCCCTTATAGTTTATCCAGGCTACCCACCTTAGGGTGAGTGGTGCTCACACCCAGGGCAGCATCACACCATGAGTCAATCTCAGCATCACATGCTTGATCCCAGCAGCAGCATCCTAGATCCAGCCACCTCCAGAGTGCCCCACCTATGACCCCATGAGGCTATGAGGGGGGGCTTTGGGTGCAGCCGTAACACATATCAACAGAGCTAGTTACTAAAACACTTATCTAGATCACTGTAGAGAAAAAGCATTTGACAGAATTTGACATCTTTCAAGATAATCACATTCAGGCCAGGGAGATGGCTCAGTAGAATAAGTGCTTCCCTGGCAAGCACAAGGGCCTGAGTTCAATCCCTGGTTCCTCAAAAAAAAAACAAAAAAAAAAAAAAAAAGATAATCACATTCAATATGCCAGGAATAATTGGAGAGTGCTTCATAATAATAAAGATATTATATGAAAAGCCCATAGCAAATAT